ATAATAGACTTTTATTATGAATGTTAAAAAATATTTGCTGAATAGACGTACGCAGGGAAACTTTTATTTTCTATCTTTTGCTGTGTGATGAAAATTGTAAATCGATGTGGAATTGTAGGCTTTGCGTTGGCAAAGTATGTGTGCAGGGGAAGAATTTTTTCTCCCCTTTCCCTCCTCCGCACCGCGCGGGTATTGTATATAAATATATTATATACATATCATAGTGTTAAGAAGGACTAGTACATTTTTTAATCAAGCGCGATGTTTTTTTCTTCAAAACTCCCGTAGGAACCCTAAGCACAGGACGTCCTCAGGATGATCCTGTATAAGTCCTGAATATCCCGAGACATATGTAAGACATGTTTAGGACACATTATACTTAGACAAAAATTTCTGGACGTCCTATGGATTAGTAAATAAGCGCCTCATTACGTCCTCGGGATTTACATTTATTTTACATTATTATTTAGTACACTGACGTCGAATGACGAAAAATAATCTTAAATCATTGTCATAATGATGTCATCTTGCTACTTGGGATACGATGATATTCTACACAGATTTTGTACGAATAAGTATAAATAATCTTAATATCTTCGATATGATCACAGTACATTCAGTATAAATACAAAATATTCGTATGAGATCATATGCTGATAGGGTATATTCGGTATATTCTGAAGATAAGTTTAAGAATATACGAGAAATGATATACCATCAAGATGTCATATGAATGTTCTCTGATTATTAGGCAATAGTACGTATGACCACAGTACTTTCAGTACGAGTGTAGAATATTCGAATGATATTATGTGCTATTAGGGGATTTAGAAAATGAAGAAATAATATTGACAAATATTAATATAATTAAAAGTGTCATATTAAAAAATATTACAATAATATTACAATAATACAATAAACATGAAATTTAAATGCAGATGCAATGTTAAACAAATTAAGATTGCTTTAACTTCTAATATTTATAAATTAATGTTTTATTTATTTCTTTCATACAACTCATCAATCAGTTCGTGCCTCTAGCTAGTCGATTCATTTCGATACGAATCAAGGAAAGAGCAGTAAAGAAAGAAATTTACAATTAACAATTAAAATTAAAATTTTAATTTTTTATAACATCTACGAGATGTATATTTCCGCCACTTTCTGTTGAACATTAAATGCTTGTATAGGCATCTCATGCTAACAAACGGAGAAATTAT